TGTGTGAGGATTGAGCCCTCAAGAAGGGGCCTTGCCATGGTGTACATGTTCTGGGCTAAGGCCCCAGCAAGCCTCGTGCCCACCCTAAGTGAAGGCGGGCCAGCAAATCAACAAGAGCCCTCTGTGCAAACGTTTCACGAAATGGGGTCCATACAGTTGCAGCACGCCAGTTGGTTGTGCACCGAGTATCGGAGCTCTGCAAATGCAGAAATCCCAGGGTCCCAAGTTGGTTAGGCCCTGGGCACATAAACGTGAGGCCGACAATGCATGCTGGATATAGAGGCCGAAAACGCCAATGGGAAACATGTCCACTATCTGAATCTGGCCGCAGGCCTTGATGAAAGAGGCGCAACTGCATCTCCTGGGCCCCCAACTGCATCGGGCCTGGGTACAGGTACTGGGGCCCAGGCACAGGCGCAAGGGAGGCTGCCCACACGCAACACTGGCATATAAGCAAGCAGGGTGAGTGGGCAGGGATCTTGGCCAATGCAGGCATTGCGGGCACGCTGCACATTTGCGAGGTGCTGCGCTGTGCAGAGCTGCGCTGGGCTGAGGTGAGGCAGGCAAGCGCTAAGCGGTAGAGCGCTGCCTGGGCGCAGGGCGCCGGCGGCCATAGCCGGGCTGCCTGTGGGCGCAGAGGAGGAAGGGGGAAGGTGGTTCTTCGGAGGTGGGGCGCTGTGTGGGATAACAAGGGAGAGTGTGGGTGAAGAGGGAGACGTACCTGGTGGAGATGGGAGGTCGACATTGGTGTTGACATTATCACTCGCTGGTCGTCAAGTTGTCTGGTTGCTTTCATACTGTAGTTGTAGTGTTAGGCTGTAGAGTAGGTAGGGCGCCTGGCGCCAGTCAAGAGAGAGAGCTACATTGGGTTATGCTGTTGGTGTTGCCCTGTTGGGCTTGGACATTGACTCACGATTCTTTTATATCGTTCTCAAATGGATGGTTACTCGGTTCCATTGTGCTATCTGCTCTTGCTTTGACTACTTGGACTTCAGTGTGATTTTGCGATCTGGATTTCTGTGCTTCGTCCACATTCATGTTCCTAGCATTTTGGTGTCGGAGCTGGTTTGATTCGCCACTTACCTTGGTGCGCTGGCGTTATACAGACTTGGTGCGTTGACGATGCTTCTTCGCAGTTGGTTCTTGTGACGTCAGGCCATATTAGGCGCACAGCCTGGGTAGAGAGGTGTGCGCCGGAAGGCTAAGACGGCATTGATTGGCGTGGTGACAAGCGGAATATATGATTGGTGATGGGAGCATGCTGATGTGGCATTCGGCTGAGGTGGCACTGCATTGCGTTGTGGGTGGTACCGAGGCCAAGACCGGTCATCAAATGCACACTCAGCTCAATTGGTGAGAAATCTGTGGTTCAGGGCAGCTATCTCCAGGTACGTTGTTCCCTTACCTTATCTACTCTCTCAATCTCTTCTTACCGCGAGGAAGTGAGTCCAACTTGGGAGTCCTCTCTTTTGGTGAGGTGTCGTGAGCGCACTACCTTGAGAGACGACAATCTTCCCGGAAGCATCTGGAAGGAGAAAGGGCGGTGCCTCTGAAGGGCCCTGGTCGAAGCACTGGGTCACGGTCACCATGCCAACCCAATGGGAGTAG